ACTTTTGAGAACTATAACATATGTCCCATACTCCCATATTTAGCTAGAAGTCTTGCACATCATAGTCCACCAGTACCACTCCCTATAACATCTGCTTATGGCTTCCCAAGATAGAACATATATATGATTTATAATAGTTTTCACATATGTTGTTGCATACCGGTACTATGACAGAAGGTAAATTACTCAATTTGGTAAAACACTCAACATAATTAGGGATCGTGTACTTTTACGAACACATAGATTGCTCCCAAATAGAAATTAGAAATGTAGAATGATAATTTAGTCAGACCTGGGAAGGATTTCAGTTGTATAATTGTAGATGATGATGAAGATGTATCCCAGAGCCTAGTCCATCGATGATTCCTTACTAGCATTACATCATCCTTTTCTCCATATTTGAATGCTTCAGTGTCCATATTTGAACGCTTCAGCAAGACTTTCAAGGTCAGATCTAATCGATTTCTCGGGAATAAAAATTCCAGATTTAACAATGTCCTGCTAGAAAACTTAGCCCTAGTAATTTCATCTTTCAAATTCGAGTATGTTCTTCTCTGCCTCTTTCAATTTAAGATGTTTAACAATTCTTTCAATCATTAAACCGCAAGGAAACAGTTAAAATTTAGAGAAAAAATTCGTCAGAAAAAAGTTCGTCGTCCCATAGATCTGAGAAACGAAGTCACGAAAATAGGAACGAACGAGAGAGACAAAAGCTAGAGAGAGAAACTCAATTCGCCGGTTTTTCCTGTCTGGTGGTGTCCGATGGTGGTCCGGTGGTTCTTGGCGGAAATCCATGGAGGTCCAGACGAGGAGAGAGAATGACGCACCGAGATGGATTATTTTTATTTGTATAATAAATAAGTATTTTTCTTTAATTTAAAAAAAACAGTTAGTTGTCAGATTTGTTCTCAAATGTTCTCATATATGAAAATGTTCTCATTTGAACATACCTCTCTCTCTCTCTCTCTCTATATATATATATATATATATATATATATATATATATGGAAAAGTTCAATAGAGAACCATTATTAATCAAGGAACCAAGTAACCAATCCAAAGCGTCGGAATTTAAAGCGATCAACGGCAAAATAAAGGGTTGTAAACTTGTATAATTGACACACATGTATCAGATTATAATAAAACCCACTTCATTTTTTCCATTTAAAATTTTTTTTAGGCCAAGTTTTTTATCGGAAAAAAAACCGAATATATCGTTGTTCATGATTTTTCGTCCTCTTTCCATAGAGACCCATGATAATATATAAAAAACGAACTTTTTTTTTTCCGAAAAAAACCCACTTAATTTTCTTAGTTTTTTCAATATTTAAGTTTATTTTTATAAAAAAAACTAATTATACCAAAAATATTAATTTTTTGTACTCTATTAATAAACATCAATACCGGTTAAAAAAAAAACCTCGAACAGTGTAGATTTACACTGTGAATCTAAACTGTAAATATTTCAATTTTTAACATTCACAATATGAAAAATCTCGAACAGTTCAGATTCACATTGTGAATCTGAATTACTATTATGCACACTGTGAATCTGAGAAAGTTCACAAAAAAAAAAAAAAACCTCGATCACTATAGATTCACACTGTGAATCTAAACTGTAAATATTTCAAATTTTAACATTCACAATGTGAAAAAGCTCCGATCAGTTCAGATTCACACTGTGAATCTTATTTTTATTATGCACACTGTGAATATGAGGATGTTCATAATGTGAATCTGAACAGGTTTACAATATGAATCTGAACAGATTCACAATGTGAATCTGAACTGAAATATCGTTTTTTTTAACATCATCATAGATCTCTATGGAAAGAGGACGAAAAATCTTGAACAATGGTATATTCGGTTTTTTTTTTTTTTTTGATAAAAAACATGGCCTAAAAAAATTTTAAACGAAAAAAAATGGTGGGTTTTTTTGTAAAGGGTGGATTTTTAGGTATATTCCGATGTGTGTGCGTCCAATGTAAAAGTGTACATCTATTTCATTGGCCGTTGATCGTTATGATTTCCGACGCTCACGATTGGTTCATTGGTTCCTTGGTTAATTATGGTTCTCTATTGAACCTCATACCATGTATATATATATATATATATATATATATATATATATATATATATATATATATATATATATATATATATATATATATATATATATATAGGGTTTTATAGGGTTAAGTTCAAATGAGAACACTATATAATGTGAGAACGTGAGAACACTACTTTATATTACTATAACCCTATAAATTAATATGTATAGTATGGTATAATTATAATATGGAATATTCAATTTTATATTGCTATTCTACTATAAAATTTATATATATATTATATATATATATATAATATATCATATATATATATATATAGATATATATATATATCTATTATATATAGTAATTTAGTAAATTCTAATGTGAATGTTAAATGTGATTGTTCATATATTCGGTGATGAATAATGTCATAAAGTTGTACATACAAATTTTACTGTAACATTCAATTGTGATTGTTCGTATATTTGTTGATGAATAATGTCATATCGTTGTATATACGAAATTCATAGTAGAATAGTAACACATTAAAGTTGTTTTCTTACGTTCTCACATTAAATAGTGTTTCATTTGAACTTAACCATATATATATATATCTATATTATATATATATCTATATATATAGTATATATATATATATAGATATATATTATTTTATTATGATTATTATTATTAATTATTTGAAAGCAAGACTAATTAAAAACCTTTTTTTAAAAAAAAAACTTTAAAAACTTTTCAAAAACGATTTTTTTTAAGATCCATTGAAACCATTAAAGACAAAAATGCCCATCTTTACAATTATTCCTACTACTCCCCTTTTCTTTTCGGCTGTTCATTACTTTTCTTAGTAAATATTTTCTTTGTAATTCTCGATTACAAAGCTTCTTTCATAAATCATCACTGAATTACATTTCCCTTTTTTGCATGCATTTACCATAAGTGAGACATGCTCCTTTTGACATTTTAACAAAACAGAACCACATGAATATGCTTCTTTTTTGTTTCCAATAATTGACCAAACTAACCCTGTAGCTTTTCTCACTTAATTTAAGTGAATCTGTCGTTTTGTATTACAGGAAAAAAATGATGGTGGTATTCCTCCGGTTTGGAGAAAGGTGGAACAGATGGAAAGGAGCGGTTCCATGAGAAGTGAAGCTAAAGGATCTTAAATCTGCATGAAATAGTGCTGACGAAGCTCATGGAGTTGATTGGTATCGACGATCCAAGCAATTTCTTTGATGAGACACAAAAAATCATGAATCATGTTTTTGCTTAATGAGCGAGAGAGAGTCTATTTGTCACACATTAATTTAATGAAGCTATCACTTTCATGCTTTTCAGACGTGCTAGAGGTCAACACCCAACTGTCAACTCGCTTTTTCAGACGACTCATCATAGGTTTCTTGGTAGTAGAATTGAAGCTGTTGTGCATATTAGACTAAAGTGTTGAACATTTCAGTCCAATCAACCTTCTTGTCTACTTGGATTACCCACATTAAGACCATAATGCCCATGTCTTTTTCTGATAACTTCGGTTATATGAACGAAACTACCCATGCCAAGCTTTCCTTCTAGAGGCGTGTGGAGCATAGGAGGTGTATGACTAATGACTGTGAAGCTAAGCCTGAGAGAACGAGGTGTGAGTTGAAGAGGAAGCAAATGTATGAGATTATTGCAGGTGGTTGGAAGCGTGGGGATAAAATCAACGAAAGAGACTTCTCAATCAAGGAAAAACTTCTTGATTTTGAGTAAAAACAATGGTGAACAATTCTAAAAGCATCATTCAAATTAGTGATTCCAGTCAACGCAAGAGATAATCAGCTCAAAAAGAATATCAACGTGAATGACATCTGTGAAGCTGAAAGGTCGTCATGCAGCATGATATGTCGTAGGAGAAAGCTCATGGAGCTAATGGGTGAAGATGTCTCGTGATGTTCTGTTTCTCCCTTCCAACTCTTGAAGCAGATTACCTTTTTTCTTGAAAAAGGATAACCCAACCAACGCTTTTCTCGAGATCCTGCTGCAACTTTTTCGTTTCCGCAATACTTTCCCTTCCATATCCATGTCTTTCAAAAAGAATATGCGAGCCATGCTTTTACTCAACAAGCAAATAATATAAAAACGATTGTTTTGGATTTTGTTATTGCTTTCCCACACTCACGTGACTTCTGTAACTATTTAGAATAGATGGTGACCTGTTACTGAATTTGTTTTCTCTTTGGAAGCAGCCAATCTTTCCATACTTGAAGGAAATCTGCAACATATCTTCTTAAGACTCTATTCCCGTTATTCCCTCTTTCTCCATAAATCTCTAGTAGCTTTCCTTTACTACGTGAGCAAGAGAGAGAGTGTAGTAGGCTAGGAATTAATTTTTTCTTTTGGTCGTTCACAACCATCTCCATGAGTAAATTCGGCAAATGACCAAAATGTAGGGTGAGTTTGAAGAAAATGAGCACAAAATTAAAGATTTCAGAAAATGACCACAAAAATGAAGATTTTAGAAAATGACCACAGGTTCTGCAGAGGGGGTTCTGCGGAACCATAAACACCTCTGCGGAATATGAACACCTCTGCGGATCTTGGTTTTTTTCATTTTTTTTCTTCGTTTTTTCGTTTTTTTTCGTTTATTAATATTTTTTTTAATCACATAAGGTATTATGTAAAAAAAATTTGTTTTCGTTTTTCGCTTTTCTTATTTAATTATCCGTTTATAAAAGTTGTGTGTTTAATAAAAATTATACAAATATTCTATGTTTTTTATAAAATTACACATGCCGGTATTCTGAATAATAAACATACTTTAAGTAGGTTACAAAACATACTTTAGAAAACATAAACATACAACCTTCATAATAAACATACTATGAAATAAACTTCATTCATTCAAATCGAACCACGGAAACTTTGATTTGTTTTCGTATTCCGTTCATGGGTTTTCTGTTGCTTGTGTCCCTAGGTTTACTGTCACTTGCGTCCATTGGTTATCTGGTTGTTGCTGCCATTGGTACTCGGTGCAACCCTGTCATTGGTTCTGTGGCTCTTCCTGCGGTCGGTATTCGGTCCCTTGCGTCCATTGGTTATGTGGCTCCTGCTGTCATTCATGTTCGGTCTGTTGTGTCCATTGGTTGTCTGGCTGCTGCTGTCATTGATGTTCAGTCTGTTGTGTCCATTGGTTGTCTGGCTGCTGCTGCCATTGATGTTCGGTCTGTTGTGTCCATTGGTTGTCTGGCTACTGCTACCATTGTTGTTCGGTATGTTGCGTCCATTGGTTTTCTGGCTCATGCTGCCATTGGTTTTCGGTCGCTTGCGTCGGTTCCTCTTCTTTCGCTTTTGTCCCACTCCCTGATGCCCCAGTACGTTTTTTACTTTTACTTTGGTTATTTGGAACGATTTCCTTACACGTCCTTGTATTATGAGTTGTGCTATGGCATCTACTACACCTTCTTATTTTTGATTCCTCACCTTGAGAGGGAATACGATTGGTGTTTTTTGGTCTACCGGCTTGACTTATTTCCATCACAGGAGGGTTAACAACCATAAGGTCATTCGGAACCTCCCAATCACTAAGTTCTGAAAGAGGGTATACGGCTTGCCTTACTTCTAACCATTTGTAATAACATTTCATGGTCAATGTTAGGAGGAAGATTTAAACCATAGTTTTTCACATTATTTCTAACGTAAACCTCATCTCCATTAACTAACTGCCAACACGCTCCCGTACACAAAATAATAAAACTCATTTTACAAATCACTCTCCACAAACACAATGAAAAAACAACTTCTACATGTAATTGAAACTCACAAACTCACAAAAAAACCCACTAAAATACGTCTATAACTTCTATAACTGATCCGTAGAGGTGTACACTGATCCGCAGAGGTGTACACTGATCCGCAGAGGGGTACACAGATCCGCAGAGGTGTACACTGATTCGCAGATGTGTACACTGATCCACAGAGGTGTACACTGATCCGCTGATAACAGTTCTGTGGATTCCCAAACAGTTCTTTGGACTGATATTAAACATAAGTTCATTATTTTTAACCATTTTTTGTCAAATTTTTTTACATAAAACATAAGGTATTAGTGTATTAAAAAAACAAATATTAATAAACGAAAACAAAAAATAGAAAAAGCGAAAAAACGAAAAAATAAAAATTAAAAAACTCAAGATCCGCAAAGGTGTTTCGGTTCCTCAGAGGGAAACGTATTACATAAAACATTTCATTAATTTTAACCTTTTTTTGTAGATTTTTTTACATAATAATCACATAAGGTATTAGTGTATCTAAAAAAAATTAAAAAAATCAAAAAATAAAGATTCTGTAGAGCTGTAGAGGATCCGCAGAGCCTTCAAAGAAGTTTATTTCAAAGTACGTTTATTATGAAGGTTGTATGTTTATGCTTTCTAAAGTATGTTTTGTAACCTACGTAAAGTATCTTTATTATTCAGAATACCGGTGTGTGTAATTTTATAAAAAACATAGAATATTTGTATAATTTTTATTAAACTCACAACTTTTATAAACGGGTAATTAAATAAGAAAAAGGAAAAACAAAAACAATTTTTTTTACATAATTGTCACATAATACCTTATGTGATTAAACAAAATATTAATAAACGAAAATAAAAAAACCGAAAAAATGAAAAAAAATCAAGGTCCGCAGAGGTGTTTATGGTTCCACAGAACCCCCTCTGCGGAACCTGTAGTCATTTTCTGAAATCTTCATATTTGTGGTCATTTTCTTCAAACTCACCCTACATTTTGGTCATTTGCCGAATTTTCTCTCCATATTTTGTATGATAACGAAATTCTTTACATCCTTTTGTCTGGGCCTGTAGCTATCCACGAAAACAAACAGCTGACATACCATGCTTTCTTCTTCTTTTTATGACAGACCATAGTCCATGAAACTAAACTGTCCCTGTTATTTCCTATGTATCACATGAGAGAGAGAGAGAGAACTCATGTACAAAACAACACACTAGCCTCATCAGTAACGCAATGACAAATTACAATTGAAAGCCTTTCTTTTGTTTCAAGCTCACGAGACTGCGACATGTTACACTTTGGTGCTGGTTATAAGCAATATCCTCACGAGACCAAAATACCCTTATGACACTTGTTGAATCGGTCATCAATACTCATCACAACTGTTAAAGAAAGCCAACTCTTATCTATTTCCAACTTTTGAAATCCTTCCTTGTCCTATGTGAATTGTGATCATGCAATTTAGAGCACGCTTTGACTGTAGTGTTTAAGAAGAATTGACCATAGGATACCTTGGTTATCGCTTTCTAGACTTTTACAGCCTTTCGTTTACTATAGCTCTTTTTTTTTTAAAACCAGAGACACACCCAAGTTGTACCACCACATAGGCCTTGATAATGACACTACACAAGCATGTATCGACAGCGGTAGCATTTGACCTTGAGATTCTTTTCTTAAAAACTTCAAGTTGTATCCTACCAGTTACATCATTCATCAGGGATATGAAAAGCAACCATGTCAGTCAATGAAAATCAATCAACATGAATGATTTGAGATCATCAGTGAGAACTTTTGATCAACTTGGATTGCAATGTGAAAGACTAATGGAGGAAATTCATGAGGATGGGTATTTGAGACAAGCAATGACTAAAAACTGAAATAAGACATTCTTGAGGCTGCTGGAAGGAGACACTGAGTGCTAGTTAGGGCTAAGAATAATAGCTAGGGTGTTAATATTATCAGTAATTAAATTAGTGTGAGACAACATGAACCTGGATCCAGTGTGTACTTGAGTCAGCAACAAACGTACTTAAAGTTAGATGATCCATCAACTAATGAATACTAACTAACCTGAATGATGAACTAAATATTAGGTTATTAATGAAGACTCATCAAGGATGATTGGATTATGCTGAAGCTGATGGAGACATTGGTAGCATAATCTGATGGATGAAGATCATGCTTTTGATGAAGTTTGAAGTGTAACTTTAGAGGTCAGGGTATGTACAAGCAACTAGATAAACTGAATAATCATGAGCATTGGGAGTTAGAATAGCGTGTATTCTTGATGAAAGAAATTAATCCAATTATAAAAGAAACATCTCTTGTATTCTGATAGAAACATGATCCTATAAGGATACATATTTGTGACCAAAATGTCCTTGTAACTTGTACCATTCTAGCATCAATGTGAGAGCCAAGGATGACCAAAATGCCCTTGTAACTTGAATGTATCAGAAAACGCTCTGATACCAATTGAAGGTTTGCATAGATCGGATACGCTCAGGTGAATAATGAAGAACAAACAAAGAATAAAGAACAACGATAATCACAAAGATGCTTTTGCCAAGAAAAGGATGTTCTCACCAAGAGAGCAAAGGTCACAAAGACAGTGACGACACCAAGCCATACATTAGGGTTTCACTTAATGTTTTATATATAGTAGTCTAATCTAGTGAACCCCTTCATTAAAGGGTTTATATCTAATCTACATATAAAAAGATCCTTATCACCAAGATATCAGATATGTTATCTATTCAATATTACAGAATATAACTGCCAAATATACAAAGATATGGTCCTAATATTTAATGATAACCAAGATCATTGACTTCACGTTGACACTGATCATGCTGGCGTTGGTGGTCAGCATGTAGTGTATTTGACTCATCAGATCATAATGTGTGACCTTATATAGAATCTTAGTTATGTACAATTGTGATGCACATAGTAAGCAACTAGGGCATTGATGTCAATTTTCAAAACATACACAAGCAGAGTCTCTCTTAGGCTATCAGCTTTTACATCACAAGAGTTTTCGTTATGCATTCCTGAAGATCCCTAGCCTACCATAGCATGCAGTTCTATTATAAACATCATAGCAAATAATAGTGTGGGTATCATGGGGTATACTTTCTTGCTTCTGTTGAACGTACACATCTCATCTTTCTTTGGTTACTTTTGAAAACAATTTTGAAAACCATTTTGAAAACTTTTACAGATCCTTAGTTTTAGTCTGGATTCACACGAGTGCTCATCCAATTCTCTCAAACTAGGGCTCTGATACCAACTTGTAACATCCCAAAAATCAAGGTAACATTTTCATTTTTAAAATCCAACCAAACACCATAATTGTTTACAAAACATTGGTCTCAAAAGTAATATTCATGAGTTCGAGTATCCCAAAATCAAATATCATAAAATTAGAAGGATGTGCATGATCATGCCTTTGCTTTCCCCCAATCATCTGAAGTACCTGAAACATAAAACTTAAACTTTACGCCAAGGCTTAGTGAGTTCCCTATAGTACCACACACAACTAATAAAGATAACATCATGCATGTATGAGCCTTCAGCCTAACTGGACCGCCTCGCAGGCGTTCAGCCTATCTGGACCGCTCTCCGGGCCATCAGACTGACTGGAACACCACGTAAGTCTACATTCTATCCGGACCGCCCCATGTATCTTGGCCTTCAGCACAAGGCATGACCGTATCAACCCAAGAAACCATAACATGTCAACATATAAAATAACAATCAATAACCAGCAAGTGCATGTAATCATACAGATCTACCAATCTAACATATACTCAGTGGGGCGGTATTGGTGCTTTCGACCTACAAGTACAATGAAGAAAACTAACCTCACAGTCTCAAAAGATAATTGAACAGATCACAGCTCCAACTTTTGAGTCTACATGTCACCTATAAAACAAATAATAACCTAGTCTCAGACTATTGTTCAAAATACCGAAAATGCCCCTAAGTTAAACATTGTCAAACCCCAGGTCAAAGTTCAAAGTCAGCAAGTCAGCAAGTCAAGGGAAGGTCAAGCTAGCTGAGTATACCCTGCGTACTCAGCTACGATGATGGGTGTAGTTGCATCTCATCCTAAACCATATGACTCTAACCCAATACGCGCAGTGTACCCATTGGTAAGCCCATCATACTCCGTCTGAATCCAAAACTTCATATTATGAAATTATTCCTTAAAGACCTCTCGTCCAAACTCATATCTAAACCCATAACAACATTCTAAGTCATAAAGTTTCCCACCTTTATGACTTTACATGGCTAGATAAAGCCCAAAATTAAAAACCCTAATTTAATCCATTAAGACATCATGAATCTTGCATTAAAGGGATTTAAGGACAAAGATATGTCATTTTTATGGTTCTTAATAGCTCCATAATGGATAAAGTTTCTAACTTTATCCCTTAGGATGGTCCAAACAACCAAGATCTAGTCTTTAAGTCTCAAATGGACCAAAAATGCATCTTTCTCAACTTAATCCATTAAGTCCATGTTTCCAACCATCAAATCTGAATCAATATGATGTTTAGATGTTTAAAGTTTCCAACTTTATCCATAACAAGGTCACAAACTTTCAAGATCTAAACATTATGCACTAAAGCGACCAAAAAGTGACAAATATGAAGATTAACAAGATATAAGAAACTAATTAGCAATTTTGAAGCTTTTTACTCACAATGGTCCAGAAATGATAATCTTGTTGGATTTATGCTTGAATCCTTCTT